TATGAAACGATTTGCGACACCCAGTTCGTAGAAAAGTTTTATGAACGATTGAGCTTTCGGATGCCATTTTCACATCCCCTTAAAATATTTAACTGACGCTCTAAAATATCTCGGATGCACTTTCGTTGTTCACTTATCCATTATTGTGTACGAATACCTTTTTCATGAGATTCATATATTTCCTTTTTTAATAATCTGCATTCAATTTAATTTCATTTTATATTTGAAAGTTCTACAATAATCGCGGAAATTGCAACTTAGCATTGTTAGTCCGTGCAACAATAACCCTAGGCATGATCCGCGCGTTCAGCATTCGATGTCATTGAGGCCATTCGTTCCTGTCTAATGATTAACGAGGAAAGCTAACGACCTGGAGAATCTCGCATTAAACTTAATTGAAGCGATTAAAACCAGTTTGATCCATGGCGCCAAGTACTCTTCCATTTCGTTAATCGTCTCGTTCGTCTAGGGGTTAAGTCGTTGTTGATCATTGTTGAGCGTTGCGGACAAGTAAGATGCACGCAGTATGCATGCAAGATGTTCATTTCGCGAATAATGCATGCACGTTGCCGGTAAAATGCACGTACAGTGCATGTATGATGCATGTGGGATGCGGACATGCCGTCATTGCCGATGCCACGGGATATATACGAGATGAAGGGATGATGAACATTCTGTCAGGAGCCCGGAAGACGTCCGAAAAAATGTAGAGTCAATGACGAAGAGAGTCATCAGGCTCACCCTTGAAATAATCTGCGCCTCAGGGGGTTACATTAGAACCGACATTCTAGATTAATTTCCTGCCCATCAACAATGAAAGGCAGAATTATTACTCTAATTGCGATTTTAATCGTTTCGTCATTCGTTGAATCCTTCAACATCATTCAACCGTAACTTTTTATAACCATTCATTGAAAAATGAAAGTACTTCCGAGAAACATCTTCCACTTCGTTGCTTGAAGGCATATTACATAGAGTTATATTTCGTTTTTCGAATATCACGAATTAGTGAATTATTTTCCTAAAGAACAATTTAGTACGTCATATTCTCGGGTTCCTTTTACCTTCTTCACATTTGAAGCACTTAACTATCTCTTGAAAATCTACCTCGTCACTCCTTACCACGAAAATGCCTACATCTCGACTTCTTTTTTATCCTTTTCGGACATCGTAAGACTCGTACATCGCATCATCGTGCAATAAACACTCGTGAATATTACTTGTCATCTAATCATTTCCTCTATTTCGTTAACACGCGAGTAAAATCCTACCTACAATAATAATTAGAAAATCTGTGAATCACTTTGGTTATCCAGTTTAAGAACTGTTTGAGATAGGGAAATAGGAATCGTAGTCGGATTTAATGGAGATTTGAATTTAGTCGTTCGATAACATCGCCGGCGATAAATATATTCCCTTAAAACACTGCGGTGTACATAAATTTAGCCAAATATATTTAACTTTAACCAATTAATTGCAAAAATAGCTCAAATTGCTTCCTTTCCATGAAAAGCTCGAATCAACTATTTCTGCCAAATATCGTAGAACATTCATTACACTGAAATCCCAGCTGAAATCTATTTGCCGAATGTTACAGTACATTTTGTTTCGCGTATGTTGCACGTATAAGATCCTCTACTTCCTCAAACCAAAGACAAATATTAAAAACTATATCGAACCGAATAGAAAAATTAGAAACTAAATTTGAAAACAATATTTCATTTGGCGAGCCCCAAAATGATGATATGCTATATCATGAGTATATCTCGGGTGCTCGCCAAATGAAATATTGTTTTCAAATTTAATTTTATCTAATTATTTATTCGGTTCGATACAGTTTTTAATATTTGTCTTTGGTTTGAGGAAGTAGAAAATCTTGTACGTGCAACGTACATGACGTGAAGCAAAATGTACTGTGACTTTTGGCAAAAAAATTTCAGCTGGGATTTCAGTGGAATGAATGTTCTTCTGTATTTGGCAATTAATAATTAGGAAACCTGTGAATCACTTTGATTATCCAGTTTAAGTACCGCTTGGGAAAGGGAAATAGGAATCGTCGTCGGGTTTGACGGCGATTTGGGTTTAGCCGTTCGGTGACATCGCCGGCGATAAATATATCGAGACTTCGAAGGACCCAGGGGGAGGAAGAATGTAGAGGAAAAATGTGGAGGAACGTAAGGAACGCCGAGGAACGGAGAGCCGTTCTTCCGAGAATGGTCCCTGCACGTAGGTATGTCGGATCGTGAAACAGCGAAATTCACGCTACGCCTCCGCTCCGTTGTACCATAAAGCCGGATTTACAAACGTCCCATTGGCACGTTCGGCCGATCACTTCCAGCGTGTGGGAGAATGCAAGGACTTCTATTAATTAGTGCCCATAATGCTCGGAAGTCCACTCGGCGACCGAGACAAATTGTCTCGGTAGTTTGCTATTTTTGTTTTCACAAAGGTACTTGAGAATGCTTCCTACCTAGTAGGGGAAGAAGACAAAGGAGGGTACTTCACATTTTTCGAGCATTTAACAGTTATTCAGAAGGAATCGTAATTGTATTCGAAGGAGGAACTGGTGAATGAAAAATGTTGCGTATAACGGAGAACGGCACCATTTTCTGAGACATTTTTCTTCGTGCAAAATGTTTTGCTTTTGGAACGGTCTCTTTTGATAGTTCCAAACGATCTCTTCTGAACGATCGAAACTGCAGCTTTCCTCATTTTTTTTTTGTTTGGAAATATGGTAGTTTTTGAAAAATTAAATTTTTAATTCCCCTTTTTGAGACTACAATTCTTATGGCGTTGAACTGATCTTTAATATATTTAAAAATGTCCATTGTTGATAGATAACGAGACAAACTCAGAAGAGCAATTAAAGGTTTTAAAAATATGTTCACGGAAAAATGTTTAATAGAAAATGGAAACATCTGAGGTAATAATTACTCATCGGGCAAGACATTTCTTAAGGTCTGATTTTTCGAATTCCATATTCTGATCTTTAGATTCCAAGGTTTTAGAAATTTTATAACGCTCCTCGTTGCAACTTTGCAATGCTTTATCATCCGATATTTCTCTCGAGGGAGGAGATCAAAGAATGAGCTTGAAAGGCCTCGCCTCCTCCTGCTGCAGTTTTATTCCTCGTTTGCATTCATCCGTAAATCAATTGTTACACCCCCTAAACAAGGAAACGCAGTCTACGCAAAAATGCAGAAAATAAGAAGCCTTCCCTTTTTAGAAGAATATGTGGCATAAATATTCAACATCCTATTTCCTTCCAAAATTGCCCGAAGAGAAGAAAACATTTTAAGGTGAAATTGTTCATTGAACAAAACATCCTTCAAACAGGATGCACCTTCAAAGGACTACGAAACCATTCCAATTTAAAGAAAAATAGAGAACAATTTATATAACAAGTTGGGAATGTACTCTTACCCTGTCATATTTCATGTTTTATTTTTCAGTCGTGTTTTTTTTATGTAGGTAATCAATTTAGAAAATTAAAACAAATTCATTGAGTGATATAATTGTTGAGGATTGAGATGGGTTACCGTGCAAAATCCACCCACGGATCAATAAAGGTTCATAATTCGTCCGCTTCCTTTCGTTGATCGTTATGATCAGTATTATTACAGACTCGCGTTGAAGTCATAGATTCTATGTTGGAATCCAATTGGCGAAATTGTTCTCAATTTATTGCGCAACCCTTCGATGTGGGCCCCGGTTATTACGTCAACTATCCTGCAATCAGGGGGATGGTACACCGGCTTTCCACCGCATTGTTCTCGTGCAGTGGATCATTAACGGTGCATCCGCCTTGCATCTCATCTTTCGAGTACAGTTCTGCGGAACCGCAGATCAGATTCCGCAGAAACTGTTGCATCCTTCCTCAAATTTCCGGAATTCGGTTCCCCCGACCGAAAGTAGGCGATTTTTGACCGTAGTATTAAGTAATGGAGACAACAGATTCTTAAGGTGAAGTGAAACATCCTTCAAATCAGTCGATTCGAATACAACATTTTTTTTTAAGGGCATTAGACCAAACTGTCCGAAACTTTGACACATCACTCCTGATCATCTAAGAATTGTCCTGACACGTTCAAAATTTAGATTTTTCAAAAAAATTTTTTAACTCAGTCCAGACCAGAACCAAAATGGCGTTGAGCACTCATATTTCGATCAATATACAATTATCCAAGGCTCTGATATGAGAATCGAAAGGGTCAGGACAATTTTACGACAATTTAGAACACTCTGGTAATCGATAAACTCGCATTTGAACGGAATAAAGTCAAGAAAATTGTTGTATGCGCTTCTTTGCTAAAACGATGGTAATACGAGGTCTCGCAGTGAAAATTTATTTGACCTGGAAATCACAGATGGCGCAGGGGGTCCCNTAATTCTTCAGACGCAGCCAAAATGTGTTTTCCTATACAATGTATTATGAAAACGATTAATATGAATTTAAATCATGAAAGTGGAGTCGATAAGTCCTATACTATTTCATTATTCTATAGGGCATCGTTTGGTTGTATTAATTAAATATTGAAAAATAGCTAATTAGGCTCGTCGACTAACGGAGCGCCAATCGAAGAACTCACCATAAATAGCCTTTCCTTTACTCTGTGGACAGCAGAACACAATTGATACGCGTTTTGCTAGTACTTGGTTGGCTAATTTTTAATGAATTACAATAGGTAAATTATGTAGGAAAATAATAGTACACGACTTTTCGACCCCACATTCAACGAGAATAGCGCTGCGTACATCATGTCCATCATTCTTGTAACACCCTGTATACGTGTCGATGATTATAAAAATGGCCTAAGTAAATTTTCTTTTGTCGCAAAACGAACTTCACATTATTGTATGTTAAATGTATACGACACTAAACATGGGATAAATTAATTTTTTGTAGATTTTTTGTATAGACTACTTCCGTAATTACCGGCACATATATAAATAAAAAAGAAAAAAATAAGAAATAGGGAGAAATGTTTTGTAGGACTCACCAAGGAGATGGATCTTTGCTGAAGTTTGAGTCCAAGGTCTTCCTTCTCATCGCCGCAGTCCGTCGTGTAGAAGAGCACGCTTTTCTTGGAGGCCCTGCAAGAGATCTGTTCGATCACTTGTATCTTTATTTTTAATTAAGCGGAATTGCTTAATTATTTCCCCCTTTTACGGTTTATTGGGGTACACGTGCATATAACGTTTTATTCGGAGGCCTGCAACTGCTCCAGGGGGAACCGCGTGCCGACTTTGGATCACGGAGTGTTTTACTTGATACCCGGCTTAATTGCAGGAAATTGCACGGTTACATCGCTCCAACTTTCGGTAACATAAAACCGAAGTCGATTGCTGCATTTCAATGAGCTTATTCGACGCCGGTCGCATTTACCTGGGTTTCTAACCCCCATGGAAGGGAACTCGATGTGCCGGAAGTTTCAGCAATTTCTCCCATCTGCGTTATAAGACTTAAAGGCAAACCGTTACATTCTTTTCCATTCTTTGATTTAATTTTCGCGATTATGTACATTAATAAGAATATTACATGTAACCCAATTAAACGTTACTTTGACTGTAAAAATATTTTCTCTAAGTTTCCGTTCAAATATAGTCAGATTTTTAAGACCTTAATTACATAAAATTGGAAATTTCATAATTTCAGTATTAAACTTAATTTTTTTTTCTAGTACTTTTTACTATACAAGATTATCTTGAAACTTCACTTTTCAATAGTGATCTGTTAAAACAAACTGTAATAACCTCACGAAACATGTACCGGGAGTTTCATACGGATAAAAATAAAAAAATTCAGGGCTTCTTCATAAATTTACAAACATTGCACGCCAATTTAAGTCAGCACCTAAAATTCGTACTTTTAGTATAACTTTGTATATTAAAAGTGTTTGGAATCTTCAACAGTGCGAAGTAAATAATTCTTTAATCTAAATCGGTGCCAGGTCTCTTCCGATAATAGATACCAATGAATGATAATTCCGGTAGCAGACTTCGAAAGAGGAGCAACTGCATCATAATAAGAATAGCGCGGTAACGCGAAAGAAAAGGACTCGGATGATGAATGGGGACCGAATCGAAGAAGGAGTAGAAGAGGTGGATGGAGCCGGTAATCTCCCCTTCGGAGAAGCAGTGATAAAGCTCCCGCCTTCAGAAGCGTATAATTGGCGGCAATTAATCGTCGCGGCCCTCTTGCCGGGAAACCAAGTTCCAGTAATCGAAATTGCACTCGCGTCGATGAGCCGTTTAGGGCCTGTATTTATGATAATCGCACCTGAGGGTCTTTCCATTCCGGTTGAACGGCTGATGATCGGCGAGCACCGGCGAATCCACGTAGCACCGGCCCTCGGTCATCCTGAAAACTTCATCCTAACAGCCTTCCTAGTCTTCCTGCTTCGTTAACATCTGGAAAAGAAAAAGAAGCTGGTTGAAAATACGCGAAAAGAAATTCCAAAGAAATTAATTCGCAAAATTATCGCCGGGCTTCGTGCCGTACGTTTCGTATCGGCTTAAGACGTTCGGGGATTGCTTTATTGGTAACTGCTGGCGTCTCGATATTAACGTCGACGTTGCAATAAATGGCTGACGTTTATGGATTCAGCGAATGAGTTAGGGTAAACTTCGCGAGAAGTCAATCAAGGCCAAGAGAAGAGGAAGAAGGAGAATCGGTAACCCGAATTGTAGAGGTTGACGATTTAATAACTGTAATTATTTGAGTAATTAATATATTAAAAATTTGGACGGAGAAGTACCGCCGATTTTATAGCAAGTCTTGAATACCGTGCACTGTACCAATTTTGTTTCTCCTATGATCGTCTTTCCACCGGTCCAAGGACATTACCCCGTAACTGGCCAGTAATTGCGATATAATCAGGTGCATACCGTGGTGTACGCTGACATGCTGTACATAGCGTTACAACGCAAGCAATTGCAGGGTCAAGCACAGGCAATCTAAGCTGTTAGGTTCTACGAACCGTGGCCGGGGGCTACCAATTTTGGTCCTAGGGAATTCTCAACTTATCGAGGTCATCATTATTCTACATCGTTTCTGTGCAATTTTAGGAAAACGCCGTGGTTCGTGTCCGTGATTATTGTAGCTGCAGGCAGGTCAACGTCAGTCGGTAGATGAGTGAATTTTGCCTCCCTAAGATGTTGAATTTCAAGCGCTGAAATATTTTTCAGTCTTCCAAGTTTAGAACTTTTCGTCCACTTTCGATATTTTCACGCCTCGTGTAGTCTTCGGCGTCTGAGACAATTTCCTAAATTATCATTGTGATCGTAGGTTGAGAGAAAATCTCGAGTCTCTATTATCAATTGAAGTACGTTTGTAGCCTGCACCGATTAAAAAAATGTACTCCAGTATTTCACCGTAAAAGCCATATGTAAATATTTTTAATTCTCTAAGAATCTTTAATTTTTTGGTTATATTCAGCCCTTTCATGTCTTCTTTCTACATTTCTTGAGAATTCCAAAACAGTTTCCCAGATTAGACTCCAATTTGCGGGGGGTCACTTCTGCGCCTTGAGACGTCACCGGAACCAATCGAGGCGCCAGAGCGGTCGCGAGACTAACCCACGCCGCGAATGCAAGAGCGTAAATAAGATTCGTAGCGACATTAAGCAACGCGGACAATAGCCGGTTAATTTGCATAAATTATGCGCGAGAAAGTCCACGCGGCCGCCCACGCGGCGCACGCGTTGCGTCGCGTAGCGTGGCGTCCCCAACGTGTCTTGGGTTATGGCAGTTACTCAGGGTCCGCCATAGGACCTGGACGTGGGATCACGTTCTGAGACTACATCAAGATGACGTCTCGTTTTAAAAACTCAACCTGAAACTTCGTCCTGGAATCTCATCTTGAGACCTCGTAACAAAATCTCGGGTTAAATTCTTATTTCGAGCCTTCGTCTTCAACTTTCATCATGGGACTCCGTTTTGAAATCTCGTTTTAAAACTTCATCTTGGAAATTCGTGCTGATACCTCGTTTGGAAAGATCGTTTTCCTCAAACTTCGCGTAGAAGTTTCGTTTTCAGACATTGCCCTGAAACCTTGCTCAAAAACTTCGTTCTTGGCGTTCGTCCTGGAACTTCGCTCGAAAAACTTGGCCCAGAAACTTTGTTTGAAAAACGTCGGTCTGCGACTTCGTTTAAAAGCTTCGCCCTGAAATTTCATGTAAAATCTTCGTTTTCAGGCTTCGTACTGAAATCTCGTCTTGAGGGGATGTTCAAACGGCATCTGAGGGATCAGTTCATGACACTTTTCTCCGAACTGGCCGTACCGAATCATTTCAACGTAAACTTTTTCAAACTTTACAACGTAAATATGACGGCTGTAAAGAAAGTCCCGACATCCATGAAATTTAGTTTTTTGTACAAAATTTAAAAAGTACCCGTAAACGAATTTTTGAAAATTTGAAACTTCATGGGTGTCAGGACCTTCCTTATAGTCTCTACATTTACATTTTGAAGTTTGAAAGGATTCGGTACGCACAGCCCGGAGAAAAGTTTCATAAACGAGAGCTTTTTGGCACCACTTTCCCATTGCCTTAATACCTCATTCTAGCACCTCGTCCTGAAATCTCGTTTTAAAGCCTCACCCTCGGACCTCGTCCTGAAATCTCGTTTTAATACCTCACCCTCGGATCTCGTCCTAGAACGTCGTCTTGAAACCGGGCCCCAGGACCCCGTCTTGGATCGCAAAGCCTCCGTTCTGGGACCATAAACATAGATCCGTCGCAGTTAATGACTCAGTCATTACGCAATCGCGCCGCCAGGGCGAAGGCACGCGGAAAGGCGGAATTCTTGATTGATTGACCAATAAACGCGTTCGCGGCCGTCTTCCTGCCTCTCCTTTCTTCGCTTTTCATCCGTTCACCACCGATGCGACTTGCATCAGCGACTTTATTCGACGGCTTGCGTAATTACCCGAGTAACTTACCCCCCGTAACCAGATCCACCGGTATTGTGCACGCATTTTTGACAGGGCAAGTACGCGGTACACTTTGTATCGGGACCGTGGCATCGGATAATGGCCATAGGCCCCTGATTATACGGTGATACAGATAGGCATGAGCGTGACTTGCGTGCACAGCCATGGTGTAATCGCAGCTTACCGTGTGTGCGTCGGAGGAGAAATGCAGGAATTATCTTTATCCTTGTTCACAATGAGTCTACGAACTGCCCCGAAACCTTCGATCAGAAAACATCCCATGATTTCCCCAATTTACTAAGAAAACCAGATTGTTCATGCATTTCCCTAGAAAACCGATTATTCCTTCCCAAAACCCTTAACGAATCACTATAGAGAATGCCCTTCCGAACCTACGATCCGACCGATGAGCTTTTAGATGCGTACGTGATCTTGCGTTAACAAAAAGACTACATTTTCACGAGCAGAAGAGAACAACAGTACAAAACAGAGCAGAGCAGACTGCTCTAGAAGCGTCGATCTACCGTCCTTACAGGATTCACGATTCATTGTAAAGCAATTCAAAATAAAAGCAATTTTATCGCTTCAACACCAGTATCCAACATATTTTTGGCAACGAGGATGAGATTGGATCAATATTAATGTGATTATTTTGATACGATATATCGACCTGTCCCTCGATTTAAGGAAAACTTCATTTTCTTCCTTTTTTTGAAAAACTGTGTAAAAATATCAACATTCCTTTTCACGGGGTATCATTAAAAATGCGAAACAAACAAAAATCGAGGGTTCGATCTTTTGGACAGAACCACGATATCAATGCATCGCCTACTAGCGTTCCGTAAATGTCGAAATGGATGTCGATAAGCCTATTAGCTCTTTCGATACGGCCATGTCGTTTTCCAATATGTTCCGATGTATCGCGTACTCGAATCGCGAATACAGTGTTACAGTACGGGCAAGTTATGACAAAGGTTCACCATAGTCTAAAAGTTAAAAAATTCGACGAAAGTTACGAATCGATCCATTTTAATGAATAAATACAGTTACCCATAGGACACGGCGAGAGTGCGATAATGGATAACCATTAGTATTGAAAAAATTAATAGGCTTCCGGTAAGTACTGTGTTAACACTGCACGTTAGAATTACGAGTTGTGAAATAATAGTTGAAATAATCACTTCTCACCATTAATTTGCGTAGAACTGTTTTTCCCCTCTAAAGCATTATTTAATCTTACAGCACGTTTTAGTTGGGCACATTTCCAGTGTATTTTGGTAAATGATTTTAGTGAGATATTTCATGTACCACAAGAAGAAAGACGTAATTCCACGATAAGACTAAGAGTTTTGAAAAAGTCTTATTAGCATGTAATTGTCGTTAGCATGTATTATTTCCACGTGTGGTGAAAATCTTACTCGTTCTAATGGCAATTGTTGAATTATTGTCCGCACGTGACTGACCTATTCATCATGTTTTTCCGACGTACTGCCGAGACGTTGCGGCAGGGCAGTGACACCTCTTGTCGAAGCCACTCGCTTTACACAGGATAAATGGAGAAAGCAATCCGGCAACTCGTAACGGCAAGATTTGTATTTCATCGCGTAAGACGAAGTTTACGGTGCATCCATGCCGTGAATCGCGAAACGATCGAGGCGATAAAGAGTGAAGGAAGATCAGAGACCGAAGACAGAAGGCGATAGCTTCGCGTTCCAGAGGTCTCGTAAATTTCGAGAGGTTTACCCGGCACAGTGTTAAAAATCTTACAGAAATCTATAGAACGGGTTGAAACTGTCTGCAAGAAGACCACAAGTATTAAAAAATCACGGTTTTTATTTACCGAACTGTTCAACAAATGTGCCGTTACATCTCGATCGTGTCTTGTGAATTTTTTCCCATAGAATATATATTTTAATGAAATTCTAATTCAGACGTTAAACAAACCCACTGTTTTCGAATTAGAATCCAGGATTCGTATTAAATAAGCAGGAATTACGTTGACCACGTGGTTATTAGAGTTCTATGTAAGAGGAAATGTTGTCAGGAGTCTAGAAGGTTGCCGCAGGATATTGAGCGTTGATATAACTCCTGTAGTCTCCGAGAGGGAATTTCATGCTTTGGAAACTGAATTAAGTCGGAAAACATGTCATATAATTGAATTTAAGAGTAACAAGATGTGAAGAAAATTTTCCTAACAATGTTGAATATTTGCATTTGATTTTCGATGCAAGAAACGGTATCAATTGTACCAAGAAGATTGGACGAAAAGTAGGATAATTCGTTCACTGTTGTTTAAATATGAGGAAATTGTTATGCCAAAGATACTTAATATTGGAAGAATTAGTCATCGACTAAAATTTAATTAAACAGAAAATTTCAATGCACCCACGATATATCAACTTAGGGCCTCGTATAAATATTTAATGTACGCAATCAATGTATTACTCAGAGTAATACGTAATAAATAACCAAACTGCGA